AGGGGATAAACGAATAAATTTTGCTTAATGATTTACCATGATTACGATAACTTTCTAATATTTAAAAGATTTCAGAGTAATTGGTTCTGATGTTTCAAAATTATATTCCAAAATATTGTTATTCAGTTTTGAATTTTTCCCAAAAATTCTGGATATTTAGGATGAAAATTCAACATGGATTCACACAACACGTGCAGGAGTATCTCATTTTATGAAATTTAAAAATCTTTTTATTATAAATTTTGGAGATGACGTCATCCCATTCGTGGTGGGGACGATTAGCCAAATTTTAGTTAGCGTTTAACCATCTACATGATATTCCTAATATACATACAAAATGTGACAACAATCGGTCTAGTAGTTTCGCATACAGACAAGCAGACAGACAGACGGAAAGGGGAGACCACTTTTTTTCGTACTCTAGAGGTCATGACACGTCCAGAAAATATGAAAGTGGCAATTCGGCCGATGAACACGATTACTGTACTTCCTTAGGAGTAAAAACGACAAAAAAAACTCAAACGAAACCAAAAAAATCAGAAGCAACAGAAAGGCAAATGGAAATAGGATGAAGCAGGCTAAGAAAGTAGATATAGATAAGGAAATTAATAAAACAAGTAACAATAAAAAGAGTAGTAATGTATTGCAAACGCAAAGGGCGAACAAAGGAAATAGAGGAAGTACAGGAACTTGGAATATACAGAGTATAAAAGGAAAAGAATAGAAATTGGTAGAGGAAATGTTAAAACATAAAATAGAGATACTAGGAATTACGGGAAAAAAAAGAAGAGATAGAACAAGAATACGCAGATCACTACAGAAATGAGACAATGTTATAGATGAAAATGAAGATATTTGTGGAAGAACAGTGGACAAAGATAATAAATAAAGAAATGAAGAACAAAAACATTAGAATTTGTATGAAAAATAATACTCCTCAACAACACTAAATTCAAACACAAAGACATAATACAAGTTTATGAGAGAAGTAATTAGTGAAAATGAAAAATAAAAAATTAGATTTTTTTCTAATCAGGAAAAGGAAATGGAAAAGGGTAAAAATGAAAAAAGAAAAATATATTGAAACTAAGGATAAATAATAATTATAAACTTAAAGGAACAAAATGTCGAGAAAATTATTAAGACATACTAAATGCAAAATTAAAGGAATCGGAAAGACTTGAAATAGAAGAAAAATGGGACGAATTCAAAATTGGCTTGATGATTGCCACAAGGAAAAAATACGGACCTACAAAAACAATAAACAAAAAGATAAAAAGAACAGAATAGTGGTCCACAGAAATAAAACAACTAATCAAAAAGGAATAAGATAGTTGGAAAATATGTATAAATAGAAAAAGACCAGAAGACTGAGTGAGGTACACAAAAAAAAGCTCAAAAATTAAAAAAGACAATAAATAAAAAAAAAGTAGAATCTAGGTAAAATTCGGAGAGAACATGACCCAAAACTATTTCTCGGAATACTTAAGAGAAAGATGAGAGAAAATAATGAACGGACGCAAACAACATTTCCAAGAATTGACGGCAGGGGATTAATATGAAGAGGAAGAACATGAAGAACAATATGAAAACAATACAGCAAGAATTATAAGAAGCCATACGAAAGATAAAATTAGGAAAAACACCTGGGAAAGATAATATATTCCCGAAAATAATAAAATATATTATGAGACAAAAATGAAAAGAAAAAATAAACAAGGTAATGGAAGATATACTACAAGAATTAAAAATACAGAAAGAATGGAAGTTAGGAGCAATATTACCGTCATATAAAAAGGGGAAAACTAGAGATTGCAATAGTAAAATTTGGTATATTAGGTAATATTTGCAGTTGACATGATCATAATAGTCAAAAGCGCAGAAGATCGACAAAGTAATTTACAGAATTTAGACAAGTAAATAACAAAAATAAATATGAAGATAAACCTAAAACAAAAACCGTGGAAATCTCAGTAATAGAATAAATAAGTACAAGGGAAAACTGATCAAGAAATAAATGAAAGAATGAAGAAAAAAGGAAAAATGTCTAACAGAAGAAATAATAGAAAAAGCATTAAGACCAACTTTAATGTAGAGCAAAAGGAAAAAACTAAAAACCGTGTTAGTGCGATTAAGATTGTTAAGAAAAATAAAAGATTAAACCACGAGGAATAAAATAAGAAACGAGGAAACTAGAAATTTAATCGATAAATGATAAAATAGAAGAACACCTATAATGGTTCTGGCATATGTGTGCCGTATAAAAAATGAACGATTAACTAAAAAAGTCAATGAGTCGCGTATACTAGGGAAGAACAATAAAAGAAAACCCAAACAAAAATGCAAGATGTAGAATTTAAAGCCATAGAGGGAAAGATGAAAAAACACTTAAACTAACCTTCACCCGGCTTCACTTAAGGGTAGAAATTCATGGATATAAGAAAAATTTAGTTATATATTGACTATTGATACTATTAAGATTTCTAGTATTAGGTATTACAAAAACCCAGTGTTTTATAAGCGGAGCGAATGGTATATAAAATATATGGTTATTAAATACGAATTTATGGACTATCAAACAATCTTTGAAAGTTTCTGCTCGTTTGATAAGTCTGATTTCAAAAGAAAAATCAAAACTGATGATCGTATATTTCCGAGAAAAGAAGGAGAGTAGACTACGAGGGTGTTGGAAAAAGTAAGAAAGGGCAAGGAACACCGAAGAAGAAAAGCAACTCTCCAAGAAAGAAAGAAATAAAGAGAAACTTGATAAAGTGAGTGCTAATGCTTGCAATGAAGGACGTATTTAAGAAAATAAAAAGAGATCAGAGTGGAGGAGAGATAGAGATTAACTTGAAGAACCAAAAAACAGTAACGAGAACTCATAAAAATACAAAAACTATGTAAATAGTGCGGACAAAAAAGAAAGGAACGAAAATAAAGTAATTAACTAATGATTTATTGGATGACATGTTCTATTTAGACTCTGGAGTAAGCAAGGAGAAGCATGCAAGAGCAAGAATGGCAATAATAACCAAGAGAGAAAACAATTATTAACGTCAAAAAAGAGAAGTTCGTAAGTGAAAGACTATTGTCAGTTACCATAAAGAAGGACAGGAAGAGTACCTACTAATAGATCCCTGTAGCCCAGATTTTGTGGAGGATCTTCAAAAAATACAGTAATTACAAAACTAATAATAATGGAGAGCTAAGCAGACGAATTGTTAACAGTAATGAAGATTTTGAATGTGTTTAGAAAAACAAAGAGAAAAGGCGAAACACTCAAATAGAGAGAGAATATTGAAGGATTCTTAGACGAAGTCATAAAAAAAGACACATGAAGTAGAATCAAGTAGGATAATGGGCGGTAAAAGAGCTAAAAATCTCGACAATCGAGTACGCCGATGATAGTGCTTATTGCAAAAGACATGGACGAAAACTTAAGAATATTTAGTGAAAAACTGGAAAAAATTTGTATGAAAACAAATACAGAGAAGACCAAGTCAATCATAATAAGGAACGGAGAAAAAACGTCAAATAAATCAAACCTAGAAGTGGTGCCCAGTTTCAAATACCTAGCCACCATTATAGAAGAACTAGACGAAAAAAATTAAGATAAGAGAGACTCTTTAAAAGTATAAAACTTCCTTCTTAAGCAAGAAAAAGTTAGCTATCAAATAAAAACACAGATATTTAAAATAGTAGTACGTGACACCAATATTTGGATCTGAAGCTTGGAAGACAACAATGAGTCAAAAACGAATGTAGCCACTACAACTGAAGAGGTAAACTTGTTAGAATATAACGATTCAAATGACAAGTTTGATTCGAGTATTGCCACTGTCATCGGTCAGGATTATTGCACTACAACCAAGATTCAGGAACTTTTTCGAGGTGAGAATATTAAATGCCAGGAAAAGGAGAAACCGAACCAATCTCAATTAGTTGGGTTCGACATTACTGAGATTAGTTTCCAGCACTTTTCTATAATTAAGGGTTTACCCGGCCACATTAAAGGCCAGCCTGCAGTATAACAAATCAAGCAATCAATTATTAATAATTTCAGTTTGATATCCGAAAAAACCGAGAGCACTTGTTATTCGTATCTTGCCTAAGGCCATCAATTTGCGGTCGCTCCCTTTGAAGCTTAAAAATCAGTTCTTTTCGTTCTGAAAAATGTGCAAAAAATTTTGCTTCATTGAAGGAACACATTTAGGTAATCTTATAGGCTTATAAAACCCTTGTCTATTGTAGCGAAAATTCAACACGGAACATTGCCACATGTTGTATTGAAAATTCTTGATGTTTAGTTTGAGTTTTGACAAAAAGAAAATTGTAGGTAACTGATAAAATTGGAATTTTTGTAGTTATAAAATAGGCATTCTGTAAAATTTTTGTTTTATTCTCTTCAAGCCCTTTGGCAGACTAAAATACACAACCTGTACAAATAGTGGCATCTGTCTTATCTTAGGTGAAATGGTCGTCCTACTAGTATATTGACAATTCGTCTTCGTAGTCTCCTATATGCGTCTGTTCACTTTCAAACATAGAGTCTTCGAAATATTTATTAGTCTGATAAATTTAAATTTGTACATACATTTTATTGTTTTCGCCAAGGTAAGTTTCTGACAATTTATTTAATTATTTTCTTTTAGAAATTTACTTCACATTCTAGTAGGTACTTTTAGTCTTGCCAATTTTTTTATTAAACCACCTAAAATCTTTCATCTAAATGTTCACGCTCTTTATCAGTATTTAAAAGAATGCACCCATAACCCGTTCAACTGTAGATTGTATAAGTTGTACCACAATGTACTTTGAACAAAACTACGACCTCAATTTTAAACTTATTATTCAAAGAATCTAGCGCAGCTGTTGTTTTCATCACGCTTTCATTAGAACTTGATTTATAGACCCTTTAACCGTCCTCGTTATTAAAAGATATTACCAGGAATTTCATAATAATTCCTTCTTTGTCAAATACCGCAGCTGCTACACTACATTATTAAAACTGATATTTGCTGCCACAAACAATATCTGATTAACATTTTTCATCACTATATTTTCTCTTTAAGCTTAACAACTGTAGTAACAAGTACGCAAGCTTTAACAAAATAAATACATATCATTATTATTATAATACTCTATTTCTAGGATTATAGCGAAAGTTCTAGCCCCAGAAAGCTAGTGGGCTATCTAATAGCACTTCTTACAATATAATTTATCTGGGCACAAACTCTCAGTATAACCCCAATACAAAAAGATTATTATTGCATCACTGCCATCGTTATCAATTTTTGATATTTATTCGTCTTGGGTGACATCGTCGTTGACCTTGTACCCAAATGTTTCTAAGTTCTTAAAATATGCTTCTTCTGCAAGTAGCTGCATATACCAAGCTTTATTATCAAAACTACTTCCACTTCCACCATACTCTGCTGGCAGAATATCATTGGAAATGAAACCATGAAGAGCACTAATATCACTACCGTGTAAAAATATCTGAAAAAGTGTGTGGGCAATTGTTATACAGTGAATAGAGCTGTTACCCTTTTTCTAATTTTTTCTTTGAGAAAAGGCTTAAGCACAGCCATCACAGCATCAAAGTAGAAAGGTTCATTGACAATGTGGAAGCCCTTGAACCTGAGAGGAAAGGTTTCTTGCACCAAATCCACCATTTTTTTAGCGTAATAAGGAGTAAAAAATTTAGCGTGTTGTAGGCTTAAACCTGCCATGTCTAAGATTAGAACAATTCCGGCGATTTGAGTTTCCGGCTCTCGAACGATTTGTTCAAGAGCTAGGATGTTGGTTCGGAATATATCGTCTATAGTGACGATGTTGGAGTCAAAATAATCTAAAATAACAATAATTATTATATCGTTTACTACTAAGTTTAGTGAACACTACCACCTTATAGATATTTTTTACAGTTATTCTTACCCATTCTAATTATGTAAACCCGCCTTCCAAGTTGGTCCCTTTCTTGTAACATATTTTGAGCTTGTAGATCAAAAACCTTGGCGTTTTCAGAAGGTAATGGACAGGCGAATAGTTCAGGACATTTTAACTTCATAAGATAATACCTTTGCATCTACGAAACCAGAACAGCTTACGTAACCTAGACTTTTAAATTAGTTACCATGTGAAAGGCCTTCTTGCCGTCAAATTTCCTTGCCCGTAGGAAACGCAGAAGGAAAGAATCGCCTTCGGGGACATTTAAGTTGGTGTCATCTGCAAAATCACTACTAAGTTTGTCGTTTTCTTCGTTATGGTTATTAACATTTTTATTTACTTTTTACCATTTGACGCAACGCAAAAAGTTCCTGTTTCACATTCTCTGGAGTCTCATTTAATTCTTCCTCGGCTCGTTTTTGCCATTCGGCATCGAAGGAAAATGATCCACTGGGATCTCCGGTAGCCAGTGATTGCCTGAGAGGGGAAACCGTAACTGAATTTTCGATGGGCATCGTCCGAAATTATATTGTTCTGCGGAGAAAATTAAACCTACAACGAATAACAGATTCACACGCACTACTTATTAAATCTACGTTTCAGATTTACCACTACGACTAAAAAAACACAAATCAATGATTAAAGGTTAACAGCTAGGGAGAACAAAGGGGTAGGTTTATAGAGAAAAAACAACACTAATACGAACGCAGCACTAACAAGAAAATGGCATAAAACTGTTTGTCTTACCGTGTATAGGATTACAGCATAATGTAATAAATTTCAGATTATCCTGAGCTGGATTGACCCTCACACTTGCTTGATAAACACGGAATAGTGTTATTGACTTATTTGGAAACCCTCACAGGATGCGTTGCTGAAATGCGCAGAAAACAGGATTTTTCCTATGTAGAGGGTTAATATCGGTTGCTAGCTATTAAAAATAATTTACCTATATCCTGCAGACCCTTCATATTACTGACGACGCACAGAACACCTGTTCCCTAAACACAGTGTTATTGATTGAAGTCTTTCCGTGGCAAATTCATGAGGTTAATGTTACACGGTTTCGTTGTAGTAATTTACAAGACCAAAATTTAACGAATCTTCCAGACCTGTCAGAATTATACAAAAAATATAATGCTGTTCAAACCGATATTTAATCTCTTCTTTAAAGAAGTGTCTGATAAGACTAATTTTGATGTGGCAGCTAGGAAATGATACATTAACAACCGGATCCTAACGAAAATGTGATTACCCTTATCAGTATTGTCGGGCGAATGGTATAATTTATGATTCATTTGAACCATTAGTTCAAAACTATTTCAGGTATTCGTAAATTTCATTATTTGCGCAGATGTCTTAAAGATGAAGCACTTAGAGCTATTGAGTAGTCGTAAATGAACATGTTTTAAACAATTTAAATTGAATTGCAGTTGAGTAATGTAAATCAAGAAGTTCATGCAAAATCTATTATCAAAGACATTAGATACTGGTGCATATTAGCGCCTATAATGCATTCACGACCTTATTCGAGCATAGCAAGCCATAGAAATCTAATAACTTGGTAACTATGTTATCTTGACATAGATTGACGATATGGGTTGTCACCTTCTTAAAGTAATGTATTTTGTTACAAATCTAACCGTTTGTTGCCAGCTTCAAGCCTAAGATCTATTCCCAATGGTGTAAATCTACTCTTTAAAGACAAATCTTACCTGTTGTACTTTAATTTTCCTTACTAATAACAGTAGGTCAAGAATTCTATAATTTACATTCAATACTGTATTATATTGAGTTTAGATTAAAAGGTTTGTTTTGCTACCATTTCCCTGAGAATATATCACATCAATACATCACAGAAAACTAGACTCAAACGTGTTGTTGTTAATATCTACATACATTATTAACTTGCACGCATAAGGGGAAGGGACGATTCCATCAATTAAAAAAAAAATGAGATTATCCTTTACTTGAAATGTCAAGTATGGTTCTTAAGACTCTCTTCTGGGTTCTAAAGACTTTGTACCACTCAGACGATGAATATCAGAAGACGATTCCATTTGAAATAATCGATTATATGTGCTAAGTATGTAGGCAAAATAAAATTGTTTAATAGATACAATATTCAGTTCTTTTCTTAAAACACGTATTACATAGCTATATTTATTTTACCCAGTATATTTGAAATGTGTTCAAAAAAACTTCAGAACTTCCCTCGCTTCTGAAATACAATGGAACATATCCAACATTTTCGAGTTGAGTTACACAATTTTGTGTTGATGTCATCAACAATTTTGCAAGGACACGTATATCAACTTGGATTGGTGCAATGTAAAATAACGTCATCAATTTTTTTTTGGGGGGGGGGGATAGATATATTTTGATTAGCAATTTATCATGCTTACAATAACCTTAAAAGGTCTGCAAGATTTCAAAGTATTCAGTTTTGTAATTCTTGATTTATCCAATAAAATAAATTGCCTGATTCATTAATTTTTTTAAGTCATCCTGTATAAGCAAATCTAAAAAATATGAATGCAATGATAAATTACAAGTATAGACTGATCATATTTTGTACATTTTAGATAGGATTTATTCAGCAATATTTTGACGTAACGTCATCAATTTTTTAGAAGAGATGAGCAAATACATTTTGATTAAAAATTTACCATGCTTATGATAACTTTAAAATATCTTCAGGATTTGAAAGCATTCGGTTTTGGCGTTCTTGATTAAATTAATAAAATAAATTCACGCATACATTAATTTTTTTTTTTGAGTGATACTGTATAAGCAAATCCAAAAAATATGAATGGAATGATAAATCACAAATACAGACTCATTAAATTTTGGACATTTTAGATAGGATTTATCGGGCATCAATTTTTTGGAGAGCATAAGCAAATATATTTTGATTGTAAATTTCTCATGCTTATTGTTGTTTTGTAACTTTAATTTTTTTTTCCAAAAATCTGGACGTTTCGGCTAAAAACTCAATACGACGTCATAAACTACATGTGTAGGACTATATGTTATTTTCTGGTATTTAAAACCCATTTACTACGTACAGTTTTGATGTGTCACATTATTGGTGGTGATGATTAGACAAATTTTGGTGAGGGTTTTACCATCTAAGGTACATACATGATATTCTTAATATCAATACAACATTTGACAACAATCGGCCCAGTAGTTTCGGAGATTATCTGTCCAATAGAAATCCGGGACGGCAGACAGATGGTCGCGCCGATGATTCTCCTCGACATTATATAGACCTATAAACGGTATAAGCTGTCCTGAGAGAGAAGATGCTGTCAATAGATTGGACTGAAATCGGAACGAAAACAAGAAATGTTTTGCACTTTTTTTAATTAACTCGGTAAAATATGTATTGAGGTGTTGAAAACAGGGATTTCAATAAGAATTTTCTTTTCTTTTCGGTTGCTTCATTGCCTTTTTGAGTTGTTTTATTCGGTTTTTAAAGTGTATAACTGCCCTGGTGTCAAAGCAATATTTTGTTTTAAAAAGTAATAGAGTAGTAAATATTGGATCTTCTGATTTTGCAACGGTTCCATATGCAATTCAGCTGCGGCTCATGACAAAATGTCGACACATTTTTTTTTTATTTTTAATTTATCAATTATTTTTCTGGTCCGTCAATTGAAAGCCATTTTAAGGTATCTAAAAACGAAAAACTTTGACCTCTTTTTCAATAATTTTAACAACTTTTCAATACAAATTTTCATGATTTTCTTTTAATTTTTCAAAGTGCCCCTATGCCCTGGCCCAGAAATAAAAAAAGTGGTCGAAAGTTATTTCGACAGAACTTCCCTCGCTTCTGAAGTACAGTCCAACAAATACTGCTTCTCTGAAAAAATACAAAATTTGATTTTGTGGAATATTACTTTTTCGTGACAACTTCTATTGAGTAAAAACAATATAAAAGCACTAGTCACGGTGTAATAGAAAAAAGAAAGTTTTACCTTCTTAAAAAAGACACTTGGGGCCCCCGAGAAGGTTTCACCTTCTTCAATAAATTGACTAATGCATTTTTTTTGGTCAGTCTGTATAAGCAAATCTAAAAAATATGAATGCAGTGATAAGGCCCAGTACTTTCGGAGATTATCTGTCTAATAAAAATCCGTGACTGCAGACAGACGGTTAGACAGACGGACAGAAAGACGGAAACGGGAGACCTATTTCTTCGTCTTCTAAGGGTCATGAAAGGTAGAAAAATTGTAAAAGTAGAGAGTCGGCCAACGGACTCGATTATAATACTTCCTTTGCTTACGCTCGGGAAGTAAAATCAATTTCGGGGTGTCGAAAACCGAGAGATTTGAATAGGGCTCTTTTTCGGTCGTTTTTCAATGATTTTTGCATGCACCAATTGACTGGCCGCGAAAAGAAAAGGCATTTTGGGGTGTTTAAAAACGAGGTACTTATTTTGTAAGTTTTTAGGGTGCTTTTCAGGTAATTAGGCTTGATTTTGGATGATTTTCGACAGTTTATCCGTGTGCCCAATTTCTGGTAGTCTAACCTCAAAATTATTTGTCATTTGTCATCAACTCGACAAACTGGAAAGCAAAAGTAGGTGGTACCAACTCTTTCAATCATTTTTGATCACGCTGTACATACTTGGGTATTTTTGAGGTGCATAAGAATTAGTGATTTTTGAAGGATTTTAGGTCTTTTTCGGTTGTTTATTTTCAGGAAAACAGCTACATTTTTAGGATTCTACCCTGTTCTTAAGGTGCTAAAAACAGGTGCTTGGTCTAGAAGTAACATTTTATATATTTATTACTTAATATGTATAACATTTCAAAAACTTCTGAGATTGATGACAAGATTGATGCTGGTCTATAGTTTTCTTTACTTCCTTTTTTATGGACTGGGATTAATTTAGCTTCTTTTAACTCATTTGATTAAGTATTTGAGTTAAAGGGTTCACTTATAAAACTGTTGACTTTTTACTTTCCGAGCGTAAGCTAAGGATGTATGGTATCGAGGTCATCGGGCGACAAACCAATTTCGTGTTTTCTCGACGTTTCATAACCTCTAGAGTACGAAAAAAGTAATCTCCCGTTTCTGTCTGTCTGTCTGGGGTCTGTATCGGTTTTTATTAGACACGCAATCTCCGAAACTACTGAGCCGATTGTTGTCAATTTTTGTGCGTATATTAGGAATATCATGTAGATGGTTAAACGCTAACCAAAATTTGGTTAATAGTCCCCACCAAGAATTTGATGACGTTATCTCAAACAAATCTATTTTAAAATGATTTAAATGTTTATACATACAACAATAATTTCCTATACGCTGGATATCTCTTCCGTAGCTTAGCAGTTTTTCTCTCGCGTTGTATTTTATCTATTTTTATCGCGTCATAACAAATATTTTATTCATCAAATTAGTGAATAATTTGTAAGTTGGACTAACATGGTAGGTATTTGCCTTGCAGTACTCTAACATGGAATCTTACCTCAGTGAATAATCTGAATTCGCCCGATGGCTAATTATTGGCATCCAATGCAGCACTGAAACTGAGCAAATCAACGGTCACCTAAAAGATTATGAATAGAGTTGAAGATCCTGAGGTAGGGTGCGATACTGGTCAAAGTCCTGATGTAGAAATCACAAAGATCTATGAAGTACCAGAAATGCTGGTGGAATAATAGTCAGTGCAACCGTTTGTTTAAGTATGGACAAATATATAATTCAAATGTATTCCTAAAAACAAATAAATAAAATGTGGTACCAAACTCCATTGTTTATCATACTAAAATTTCATCCTTTATATATGTATAGCATAATTATATTGTATACAAAAATGCGTCTCAAGGAGTCAACATTCACACAACTTTCCCAGACACAGTTTTCTCTTAAAAAGAATCAGATTCCATTTTATTCAAAAATTTCGGACTAGTATATGCTTGTCCATTTTTTGTATGCAATTAGTATCTGTTGGCGCAAGTTCATCTATAGTGCATTAAAAAAGTAGGTGGGTACAAACAATGTGCAAAGTTATTCGCCCATGGAGCGTAAGTAGCCGGTATGTTTGCATATTTTTATCATGTTATGATCTACAGTAAATTTCTAACAGCGATACAGCAGATCGCTGTGGGAAAAACATTAGATTTGATCATGAAAAGAGTAGGTAATTTTTACTTCGAAGTATCACTGGTTGTCGCAACATAGTGTTCTAACGGTTTACCACGAGTGAAAGTTATTATTGTTTACAAATATTGACTTTCGTGTGTCTTATTTGTTTATGGCCCACAGGTAAGAAAAACTATATTATATCATTTTTGACCGTTATTTTGACATAAACCAAAGTAATATGGGTATTTTATTAATTGTTGATAATGCAATCATTTGCGATGATTAGGTTATGTGACGGTTACTTATAATCGATAAAACAGTCAATAATTTGAACATATTTTAAGCAATAAAATTTCCACTACAATGTGTTTATTTGCCAGTTCTGAGAATTTTGTGAATATGAAAGAAATGTAAACAAGTTGTATTTGATTGCAGATTTTGATGCCCACATTTGAACTTGTGCCAAAGAACTGTTTTGTTGTTAAAGTTGTAGCGAAGTTTCTAAGGCATTCTGATGGTACTGGGTGATCAAAAGCAAATTCAGAATGTTCACTGAGGTAAGATTCCATGTTATAGTACAACGAAATTCAGACGATCCAATCAAAAACTATAGTAATGATTTAGTATAAGTTAATATTATCGACTGCAATTTTAACAACTTGTGTTTACTAATAGAATTCACCTGATTTTATTGGTATTGCAGTTATATAAAAAAGATTGACTTTTAGGTATACTGCCATCAATTAGATACTTTATTAACAGTAATATTCAATTTTGATAGGAATGTTGTGTTCAATATCAATAATTGTGTATTATGTGTTGCCTATGTCAAACCTTTGTCACAGATTACGGATACCAGATAGTTCACTCAGCTGTCGGCACTTTGAAGTCGGTGTCCCGAGATTTCAAGCGGTATTCACGCTACTACGCACGCTCTACCAAAATTGGTTCGCAAGCTTTGAATTTAAAAGCACGGCGGTCAGAGAAAAATTACAGCGATGATGCAAGGGATGAGGTTCTAAGTGAAGAAAAAAACGAACAAAATACTTATTTGCCTTACACAAAATAATTTATGATTATTACAAATGTTTAACATTTCACAATTTCCTCTGAAAAGAATTGCGGACACATGCATCGGCATTAAAAAATTTTAGAGCGTAAAAAACACGTATTCTCGAATATAGTGCTAACAAGAAAGTGGTGTTAAAATTTTTGCATGGTGAATAAACGTAACCTCTTTAACTATACGGCTTAAAGGGTTACCGAAAGTTAGAAGAATTGAAGGGCATAGTTAATGAAATTTGCTGCGCTTGCCTTTCTGAATTTTGTTGTTACAGTTTTCTAATCTACTCGTCTTTATAGTGATCTTCGATTTTTGGTGGTTATTTAAGACTGAAACGAGTTTAAAGGGAAAGAAGGGAAAATGTTTTATTCTCTTATTCATTTACAAAATCAGGCATTATAGACAAGATATATTTACTAAACGATACTATAATACAGTTTAATGCACGTAGGTATTTATTCAACTAATTTTTTGATTATTTTAAACTTTAAAAAAATCCCTTCGTAACCAAAAAACGTAGAAATTAATCCTTGTAATGTTATTTATTCCCTGAATTATTACCTAAACTTTTATTCTTATATCTGCTTCATTGTAAATATTATTTTGTGTGTTAATCTGTCGAACCAATTTTAGTGTCATGCGCACGGAAAATTTGCGGACAGTTACGCCCACAAGTGAACCATCTGGTATCCGTAATCTGTGCCTTTGTTTCAGTAGTCAGGGTTTGAATTTATCAATGTAGTTTTAAATGACACAGATAATTTACAATACACAGACACAGTAGTCAATAATCTAAAAAAAGATAAGTATACATTTTTATAACAATTTATAAGAAAAAACAACTTGATGTAATTTAAATCTTAGTATCGATTTCGGTTATTTCCTTTCAATTCAGTCTGATGTTTAACTTTCTCAACAATTTCTTCTTTGTCGTTGTTCTTTTGATAAACTATCGTTTTCGCTAGTTCCAGATTTCCAGGATTGCCACATTGTAATTAAACTCATTATAACAGTCTTCCTTTTGCGCAGGACACGATTGTTAAAAATTTCTTAATTTTCGATGCTTAATATCCCAATGACTTTACTTTGTAGAGTATTAACAGTTTAAAGGGTCATTTTGTACAAAGTGATTAAAAAACATTAAGTAAGAATTTGCCGTTTCGTTGAGATTAGTAAGATTCGAGCTGAAAATAATAATTAAAAAGGGTTATGATTGACATTTATGATATCATCACAACGAGGCGGCAAAATTCACGAAATTTCAAAGCCGACTTGATGTAGGACATTTTATCATTTATATAGTTCTTTTTTTTCTTATCCCGTTTTTCCCACTTTCCTACAGGAGTGGAACAGTAAGTTACATGAAGGAGTTCAACGCGAGAACCTCGAACTTGTAGAAAGAGCTCTTCGAAATGGTGCCGACATAGATGGTGAAGACTCCTACGGTAACACAGCACTTGCAAATTCCGCTCAAAAAGGAAACAGTCAATTGTTAGAGTACTTAACACTTCAAGGAGCCGATATTAATAAAGCTGGACCAAATGGAAAAACTCCCTTATCACGAGCTGCATATTGGGGTCACAAATCAGTTGTTGAATACCTAGTCACTAAAGGAGCTGATATAAATTGCATAAACCCCGACGGAAATACAGCCTTGGCTTTAGCCGTACAGCATAACCAAACAGAAATTGTTAAATATTTAACAAATGAAGGAGCGAATGTCAGTAAAGTAGGTAGAAAAGGCAGAACGCCACTGTCGTGGGCTGTTTTAAACCAAGAAATAGAAATCATTGAATGGCTTCTAAATAACGGTTGCACGCTAACCATACATACTGCATTGTTAGATGCAATACATACAAAAAATTTAGAAGTCGTACAACTACTAAGAGAAAAAGGTGCTCGTGTTAACGTTGAGTATAAAAATGGGTATACACCTTTAACCAAAGCTATCGAAGTTGGTGTTTTCCAAATTGTAGTAGACTTAGTTAAACACGGTGCAAGCGTGAACTTATCCGATGCTAACGGAGAGCTCCCACTATCAAAAGCTTTAGAGAAAGGAGATCTACAAATTACTAGATATTTACTCGAAAATGGAGCGGACATAAAAGCGGCACAGTCCAAGCACAGGAACATACTACTCCAACTTCTGGAGGAGAAAAATTTCGAAACAGTGAAACTTTTGGTGGAAAATGGAGCCAATTTAGACATCACTGGTAACTGTGGTTATTCGCCTTTAACTAAATCAGTACAAATGGAGAATTTTGAAATAGTCAAATATATAGTGGAAAGAGGTGGCAACGTAAACCAAACTGACAATAATCGAAACACACCGCTGTCCATAGCCGCATCCAACTACGATCTTCGTACGTTTGATTACTTAATTAGTTGTGGGGCTGATGTTAATATGGCTACGTCTACGGTTGAAGAGATAGCCGAAGAAAACGAAGACTTTTACGTGTATTTAAGCGTGATAAGAGGAGAGACCGAAGCGAAACTTAATCAATTATCTAACTTTGTTGGTGGTATGAACATCTGCGACTAATACATTTATTGTACTTAATTTTTATTTTTTACAGGCTGTGGACACGATGCATCTCCGTAGTTACTTATTTAAGACTACATTACTATTTTACCAATCGATTCGTTTTTTTTTTTTATTATTGAAACAAAAAGGCATGTGAATATCCATTAATTATATTTTATTTCTGTTGATTATATTATAATAATTAGATATATTTTTCTAATATATGATTTTATATTTGTCTGTATATTTTTTACCCGATCACAGTAAAAACCTTGAAACTAAATTTTGGTCATATGTAATGCAACCATCATTACCAAATCGAAGTCTAATCTACTACTTTAGGCAGAAAGTTTTAAACTGAATCAGATATTCCAGAAATCCGGTAATTGTTAGTTGACAGTTAGCCAACGGAAAAACTATATAGATTTTTGTGAAACCACTGGTGAGATTCTCTTCTAAACAACATCTTTGTCTTGGAAACAAAGTGCTGTGAAGGTGTAAATTCAAAAGAATGATTTTATTTTTGTGGTAAACAAAATTCATTAATAAAAAAAAAATTAAAATCGGGTTTCTCGAATAACAGATTATAACCTTACTGTTGTAAGGTTATATAAATAACAAGTTTAATCACAGAAAGAAAATGTTGATTGCCTATATTTAAAAAAAATGTGGATACTTTAATAATAAATAAATAAATAACCCCATTAAAAACAACAACATTCTTTAAATAGGGAACATTGAGACTTCCTGTTTTACTGGAAAGCACCAATAAACCGCTTATGATTATGGCAATGATTATCGCCTTGACTTTCTGTCTGATTGTTTGCCGTAAAGAAATACCTATATGAATAATCAACCATCTCCGATGCGCAAAACCCAAAAGCTTTGTAAATCACCATTATTCTTATATATATATATTATATATGTATCTAATTTATTAGGAATTTCCAATAGGCGCATCTGGAAACAAAATCAACTTTTTTAGCGACACAATTTTTTTCAGAATTATTGTAGAACTTGTTTTCTAAATTCACTGACGTATCACACTTTAATCACACATTTTAATGAAATAATAAAAAAATAAATAGAAATTTACATTTTAACACTTCACAAGCATTTAATTTACATAAACACACAGATGCATTTCTCACTAGTTGTGAAAGTGAAAAGTAATTTTTTGTAAAAGGTAGAAATGTCGGTACTTAGCAGCGAGGGGTATTAGACTGATCTGCCTCCTCATTGCGGATTTCCATGATACATAAATACTTTGACAGAATAAAGTGGACAAGGATCAAAATTTCTGGTTTGATTACAGAAAATTTTGAATTCAAACGAGAACTCTTTGAGATTATATTTTAAGCAAAACAATCTTTGTTTAATAAATTTATTACGGATAGATTTTGGGCGGGAAATTTTATTAAAAAATCAACCTGATCCAGCAAGCAATCGAAAAAACTGGCGAATATTGACAATTTAAAAATAACACAGAACGAGACTTCGAAATGAATTGTATAAAAATTAACATAACGTATGTAGGTATCTGTTCAAATGACGAAAATAGTATTATATTTTTTATGCTCTTTTTTAATTTTCATGTGTTTCTTCATTGACTTCATATTAATAATTTGTTACATATTACTTCTTTTCCATATGTATATGACTCCAATATCGAATGCACTGAATTTTTGAAAACGTTTTAAGGTTACCATAAGAGTGGTAAAATTTAATCAAAATTTATATGTTTATCTCCTGTCAAAAAATTAATGACCTCATCACATACTTTTGCCGATTAAATGTTATGTAAATTCTCTAGAAAAACATACACTTATGATTTATAAATCCGTGTTGAGTTCATACTCCAGATTTTTGGAAAAAAACCTAAAATTATATGACAATATGTATACCCCAGCAGTCGAGGTTTATGAGTTCGTGTTCAATTTTTATTTTATGCTTGGCATCCAGATTTTTGGAAAAAAAATCAAAACTGTACAGCAACATTGTGCCCTTCAACTTTCAAATTGCAAGACCAAATGCTCTGAAATCTTACAAACGGTTTAAGGCTGGCGTCTGGTTCGGTTTAGCCCTATACTAAATACATTGAAAACATCGTCGCGGTTTCCGGAGTTGCATTTTAAAAATATGAGATATATCGCTTTAAAAAAATTATATTTCGAATTAACAAACTTCAGTCCAGGGGACCTCCATATTTATATTCATATCTAGTATGCAGTTTTTACAAAAAAAAATTATAAAGTTGAACAACTTTTACATCACATTTTAACCGGCACATTGATGCATTTTTTGACGAAGTGCTGAAGTTTTTTGCATTCTGAGATAGGAGGTCCCCTGGGGAAAAGTGTCAGCTTTCTTTTGATACCATTTATAATATTAAAAAATCCACGACTGAGGTAAATAACTCGCGAAAAGTCAAAATCTATTGAAACGAGAAATCGGCATTAAACGAGCTGTGATGCGGTAGCAGAATGCAGGTTTACTTAGATTCTGACTTGGTTGGAGATTTCAGTATTTTAAAAATGCAATTCCGGAAACTACGACGATGTTTTCAATGTATTTAGTATTGGGTGAAACCGAACCAGACGCCACCCTTACGGTAATCAAAATCATGGTAAATTCTTCATAAAAATTTTAATAACAGAAAAATCCTATTCGTCTGTGACAAAGTTGTTTTAGTCAGACTATTCGGAAAAAATATATCGCAAAAAAATGGACGTACGTTTGTCCTCATTGCGATTTTGGCTTAAATATTTCGGATAATCCTGACATGGAAACTTGAAGTTACTGAACGTACGACTTTTATTAAACATTTCCTTCCTGGGATCAGTACCAATTTTAGTTGCTGATACCTGTTTAACAATAGTTATATAGTTTTGTTATTTAAAACTCAAAATATACTTACATTAAAAATATTACAATGAATTTGTACTAATATTAAAATAGTGCGTACATTCTTAACCATGGGCTAGAAATATTAACAACTATTAGGTATATGACTCCAAGTTTATACAAAATTTTAATGGGAATAAGTTAATCACCAATGTAATGAGGCGTTTAGCGACGTCTGATTGGGGTAGAGTCGATTGTGTGGTACTTTAATACCGTGTTAAAAATTTAACAATCACATATTTACAGGGCCGGCTCTAAGGGACCAGGCGCCCCGATACAACTTACTGTTCAACGCCCTCTAAAAAATTTTTGTAATAATATTTTTATTAACAACTGGTTCGAGTGAGTTCGAGAATTTACCTCCACGTAAAGAAATATGCTGTTTCAATAAATTTTTCCATAACAAAGTATAAAAATTATTTTTGACATTGTGATGACGTCATTAACAAGTGGTGTTTTATTAGAAATGGCAGAGGCTCTATATTTCTTTGGATTTGTATGTTTAATACTAATTTGTTGGATGATTTATAACAATCACGAATTAAATGCAATAAATTTGTTAGTTTTTTTTAACCCCAGTAAATAAAATGTACTTTATATTTATGTACTTTGGGTACTTTACGAATTGGTTCCAAGTGTACGCATAATTCATAATTTGCTCGTTCTCTTAGTTACCATCGTTAAAAGAATAAGTAAAATCCACCAAAATATAAATGCAAATGACTGCAATTATGAGTATTGGCGCTGTAAAATCTCCAGTCACTTTCAAAGTTGTACCCTGAGTAAAGCTGTTAATCAAAATTAATCGCTACATTTGTACCTTTCCAGGACCGTATTTGTTCTCTAGTAAATGCATTCCTAATGAGTACCTAATGGTTTTACTGCAGGTTGTGGTCTGAAGCACTAAATACCCCTCATAAAATAACGGCGTTTGCATTTATCTTTCGGTGCACTTTATTCACTTATTTTTGTATTACAATCTGCTAGTCTATTGCATTCCTTGAATTTTGTTTGTCGGGGACCATTAATTAAGGGCTGTCGGCAACCATATATCGACCCAAGGTCATATCTCGTTAAAATGGTACCTGAAATGCCGTAATCCCTCACCTCAACCTCGGTCCAAACTGAAAAGTGCACCTATTGTAAACTTAAAGCAAATTTTAACTGTCCCTTTTTAAAGTCCTATTCGAAAATCCATTCAACTAGAAACAAAAGTGAAACTAAATATTTAAGCCGGAAAGTAGACGTATCATAAGTGAAGTACCTTAGTTAGCCAACGGCAGAATTTATCGCAAAAAAATTGTAACAATTATTATAAAAACCACATTTTAAGATTTCCAACTGAATTTGAATTTTGAAAAATGTGTCTCATATAAATAGAACATTATTGTAAATTAGAACAAATTTTTTAACTTCATGAATGCTAATATTGTTCAAATTATTAACATGATTAAACTAAACTAAATTTGCTCCCGCTCTAAATAAGGCTAATTAAAGTCAGGTAGATATTTGCCATGCCCAAGATGTGAAGATGACCGCGAACCGGAATTAGGATGTCGATTTAGTGAGCACCCATCCTGGCCAGGAGTTGAGATTCACTAACAATCAAAGTTAGGCAACGCCGAAGTAATGAGGAATTAATCAGACAAATATTAAATATGACGGCGCGACATCAGGCGATAAATTGTGCAGTCTCAACCTTACTGGCTTTTGATTCAGTTCTGATCAAGATCATCACAAAAATTGTGATGTTAAACAGTCATTTTTAATTTTTAAAGCAATTTTAGCATCTAGGACAACTCGTATAATTGAGGAAAATCTAGAAAAAATATTAATTGTTATTAGGAATTCAGGAAGTTGTAGACCATCGGACGCCAATGACGATCACTTCCGTGGTGCCGAAGCCTGCTAATAATAATTAAGACGTAATTATAAAACACCGAAAAGGGTAGATAAAAGACCTTTTGATCTTTTATTGGAATATTCTTTCCACATTTCGTGAAAAACTGCAACAATCTATCTTTAATTTTTGGTTTTAAGTAGAATCAAAAGATAATTTTTGTTTCCTATATAATTTGGAACTTCTTTTTTTTTTCAACCCTTTATGATCTTAATACGACTGAGACAAGAGAACATTTGTCAAATTTCCAAGAAATAACAATAATGAGAATCCGTTCCGCAGGTGGTCATCTTAAGCTGCCCATTAGGAAACAATCGCTTTTCGAAGAATTGGTAATCATTTCTATACCCCACCTCAACCATCCCTTGTATTTAAACCCTCCCTACACGGAAAATGTTTCATTTCTTCGCATTCGTTTAAAGGGTGTTTGTCGTGTTAAGCAAATTATCTGTGTTCTTTCAACAATGCAGAAGTCACCAACTTCAAGCTCTTATACACGTAGCGACGGTCCTCCGTTTGTTGGAATTCTCTTCTGCCCCGAGTGCAACAATATGCTGTACCCAAAAGAAGACAAGGAAACCAAGACTCTTTACTACGCCTGTCGCAATTGTCCACACAAACAACTTGCCCAGAACAAGTGCGTTTACGTTAACAAGATCGTGCAAGACGTAGACGAATTAAGGAATATCGTCCCTGATGTTATCAATGATCCAGCTTTGCCGAGGACTGACTGCCATCCATGCCCTCAGTGTGGTCGTCGAGAGGCAGTTTTTTTCCAAGCCGATAGCCGAAGAGCTGACAGTGAGATGAGACTATATTATGTGTGTCGAAACCCAAAGTGCCTTCTTCGGTGGACTGAATAAATCTAACTGACAAACGTAATGTGTAACATAATTTTTCAAATCTATACAATTTTATGTATGATGTGTGTCTATCAAATAAATAAATAGGTATATAAGTTCCAAAATGTTTTTCTCCTTGACAATAAGTTTGAGGGTATGAGACCCAATGAGACAAAAACTCAATCAATTTGAGTTTTTGAGCGACGTCGTCAATAATATTTCTCTCCCTTCTGAAGGAATTTAACTTCGGTTTCTCTTAACTGACTTTTCATTCTCTCGCTTTTCACTTCCTGAAGATCTCCGTTACGAAAGTGAGAAAAACGTGGAAACCTTTCTTTAATTTCACGTTTCAGACCCGAAAAACCTCTTTATATCAACTTTTATAACTAAATCCAAACCATTATGACAATAACGACAGTAAAAATCCTTGCGGTACGGGCCCATAAAAATGCGCTCATGCCCTATGGTCGTCTATAAACAGGGTCGTACTTAAGAGAAAACTGGATCGGGTATATGGTTAACTAAAAACAAACACTTTTGGTTAACCATAAGTTTTTGGTTTAGCTGGCAGTGGAAATATAAGACTTTGCAGAAGGTTATGTATATTTTTATTATTATTTTTATTATTTCATTTTTTTTTGTTTTGTTAAAACAAAATTTAAATACAACAAAAATATAACTAATCAGAATTTTTTTTTCTGTTAACCCTGTACTTTATAATCTTCTTGCTATAGTAAGGTTCAAGGTTGCTTTATAGTGACAAGCTTTGTGCATATAACGAATACGTAGATGTAAAGTTTTTCCAAGTGTTGCCGTACAGACAATCCTAAATTACAACTGATTAAAAAAATTGTTTCGATGTAGAACTCTAATTTATCTCCAATTTATTTTTTGTTCGAAAGTGGAATGTCGAAACCATTTACATATTAAGGAACTTTTGCACAAAACTGAAGGCAATTGTTGCCAACACTTATTGCTATCCTCTCAGAGAAAGAAAATGATTAGAAAAAAAAAATTGCACATGCGTAGGTACAGGTATTAAAAGTGCAATTAATTGTAGAAAACAAGAAAAAAACAAATCTCAAGCTACACTTGCTTTTAGAAAAGACATATTAAACGTAGTGAACCATGTTTTTGGTCAACATAACAATTGTGCTCAATATTTTTGCAATCGCTCAGAAGAACCTAATGAAATATTAGAATTATCCGAAAATTTCCTAAATCATGTAACAAATGTTTTGCTGGACAGAAATAGTAATATCGTTGAACAATTTAATTCGATTATTGCCAAATTTGTAGGCGGAAAACGCATAAACTATTCGCTTTCAAATTCGTACAAAGTCAGGTGCGCAGCCGCCGTTGTATCACACAACACAAGAATGCCTCATACAAGTTTTAGGGAAATATTACCAAATACCATTTCTAAAATTAACAGAAAAATAGAAATTCGTCGACATGAGAAGGTAAAGAAAGATCGTTTGGGTAGACAAAGCGTTTTTCGTAAAAAACTAAACTTTGGTAAGAGTACTAACGTCAAAATGGACAAGCATGACAACGGGGATTATGGCGAAAATTCAAAAACCAGATCTGTCAACCGAGATATATCAACTAAACGAAAACGAATTTCTCCAAAAGTCACAAAGAACTGATGAAGAAAAAGATAAACTAGAACAAGAAACACGCTGTCAAAGCACTAATCATATTTAATTGAGCTTTTGTAAACCGTCTCCCAATCTATCAGTTTCTAACATAATAATCGACACAATAGCATTCATTCTCCCGGACGACTTGCACAAAATCGAATTCGTTGCCAAGTTAAAATTAACCAATGAGCGACAGATTACGCATGTGTTTCCGGTTGCATTCTGTCAAAGCGGTTTGTTGTCACAGGCCTTTGCTCTGCTGCCGGAGTGCCGGATACTATTTCCAACGTGGTTTTGAAGATGCGTGCGCACGGAAAGTCACTATGGAAGTTTTACGATCTTACAGGAAAAGGGTCAATTAGAAAAATCAGCCAAGAACTCTAATAATTACTGACTTTAGGGTAGGCTGTCGGCCTTCTCAGAAAGGTTTTTGCTTGGTTGTTCGGTCCGCAAGTTTAAATTTCATCACGCTTCTAACAGCAAAACCCAGAACTAACCGCTCAAACCGTGTTGAATTCAAACCCATCTTTTTTCAATAATTGTTCGTTTTTGTCAAAAACTCTGCCAAGGACTGTATTAGTAATTTTCCATTACTACTCTTGTTAAAATCATTCGACGTATTTTGAATTAATTTATGGTATATTTTGATTTTAATAAAGGCATTATGAAACAAATATTTAATATGACCTACGTTACTTTGTTAGTGTGAGGATTTTCAATCGACTCTATGGTATTTAACATAACAAAAAACAAAAGACAATATTGCTTTTTTATATTTCTCTGACGGAAAAAGCTGCAGTTTGATGGATAGTACATACATATATATTAATAATATTTTATTATTTACTATTGAAAATTTATAAAAATTCGTTACCTATTATAAATTGTGGTATAAAGAGAACTTGGTGATAAGAACATTCTCCACCTGCATAAATGGTATTTTTCAAAATTTAAGATTTTTTGCAGATTTTTTTCTATTTGGAGAAGTTTTATACAAGCGGTGATTACCACCAGTTCTTCGAAAAGCTATCAAACAGCTGTGCAATGAATTTACAGCATTGATTTTTTTGGAAATGACAAATACTTATTCTGTTCTTTCAGTCAAATTAAAACCATAACGACGTGATCTAGAACCATAAATGATAAATTCCAAAACATATAGGCAAACATGCCGTGTATTCAATGTAAATGTGTCACTTGATAAAAGAGTTAAGTACAAAATTAGGTATAACAACGACACAGTGGCGTAACTACCGGTGTTCCATGTGTTCGACGGAACACGGACCCGCTTCTTCAAGGGGCCCGGTCCGGTCACACATTTTTTTCTATTAGATTTTTTATATTATTGCCCAAATTACATCCCGAAATAAAAAATTCAAAAATGTGCGGTAATCCCAGGATCGATCGTTCATTGCTATTTACGAATTTTTGCTGCAAAGGGCTGGACTTCTGGCGGCATCTCAATATCATACATAGCAGCATCTGTTTCTAATAAACCTGTCGCAATGTCGCAATCCCATGTGGCAAATCTAACACCCCAAGTAGCAAATTACCAATCTTTATCCGACGAAAGCATGACTAATTTATGATGTAGGACAACAAAATACTTAAATTTTGTTCTCAGATCTACATTGAAACTTCATGCTGTAATAAAACGTGAAAAAAAAAACAGTTTCAGTTGTGTTTTATGAAAACTTTCGTATTTTCAAAACTATTTTAATTTTATACTTGTGGTGCTTTTTTGGATTAATAAAATATATCTGATGTATGTTGCAACTAATTTTTTAAGCAGAAAAAAAACTGGACTGCGAAATTATTACAGAATAAGTACCTAGTATCTGCACTAATTTCACTTTTCTTACAATACCTCTTTCAGCGGCTTCAGAGGAAAGATTTTTTTCGAAATTAAAAATGACTAAAAATTTTTTAAGAAACACAATGGGCAAATGCAGATTATCTTCACTGAATCTCTCAATTGGAAATCAAATTGCCAGAAGCTTAGATGTGTCAAATCTTGTATCAACTTGCACCCATTGGAAAGCAAGAATTTTGAGATAAAAAAATGGGCATTTTTATTTCTAATAAATCTGTATAATTGTACATATTTTAATTATATGTATTCAGGTAGTTATTGTATTTTGTTTTTTTAATTCACTGTTTCAGGTAGAATGATTTTAATAAAAGTAAGCCCTAATTGCAATCTACTCATACTTTACTCATTATACTCATATTATTAAATATTCTTATTTCACTGTTCATCGTAGAACATAGCCCCACAGTTTGATTGTTACGCCACTGCAACAGCATATGCCATGTAAAAAGTTTACAATCAGCAGTACAGAATTTTATTTATGCACATGTAAGAGCACAAGAGATGATTTTCACGCATGTTTCTGTGATATTTTGGAAACCCGATTTATGCTTTTTCAAGAAAAGATTGCAGTGTGTTATATCCGCCCCGCAGGTGGTAACCCTAAGCTCCCATTAGGAAACAATTGCTTTTCGAAGAACTGGTGGGTATACCTCTTCTGAACCATCCCTTATATTCAAAGCCACTCTAAACTGAGCACGTTTCATTTCTTTGCGTCCGTTTCACCGGTGACCATCGTTTTAAGCAAATTTTCTGTGTTCTTCCAACGATGGCGAATTCACCAACTTCAAACCCTTATTTACGTAGCGACGGCCCTCCATTTGTTGGAATTCTCTTTTGCCCGGAGTGTAACAATATGTTATATCCAAAAGAAGACAAGGAAACCAAGACTCTTTTTTACGCCTGCCGCAATTGTTCGCACAAACAACTTGCCCAGAATAAGTGCATTTACGTTAACAAGATCGTGCAAGATGTAGACGAATTAATGAATATCGTCCCTGATGTTGTCACTGATCCAGCTTTACCGAGGACTGACTGCCATCCATGCCCTCACTGTGGCTGTCGGGACGCAGTTTTTTTCCAAGCCGAAACCCGACGAGCTGAAGAAGAAATGAGACTGTATTATGTGTGCCGAAATTCAAAGTGCCATCATCGGTGGACTGAATAAACCTAACTACCAGATCAACAACAACAGGATCTTTCAAATCTACACAGTTTTATGTATGTAAGGTACTTTTGATGTGTTGACAACTCTATCAATAAAGATAAAACAAATTAAAAAGTGTTTTTTTCTCGTTAACAGTTATGAATTTATGTAAGCAATTAAGCAATCGTCGTCAATAATATGCTCCTATTTAATAAGAGGCAACTTCGAGTATTTGACCACTCAAGTAAGGTTAGAATTTGCGCGGCAGTTGCCGCAGTTCATAATTCAAAAATTCTACTATGGGTTTCTTATGGGAGCTTGATTTTACCGACAAAATACGCCGCACAGGTAGAAATCTTAACTAGTTCTTGCTCCAAGCGATAAAGGCTGTACAATTATCGTCCTGTTACTAAAGGTTTAAATAGATAAAATGCTTCTGTTAAAGAAATATCACAAATTAAAAACAACGATGTCCATCAAAGTAACGTACATCGTTTCTAACAGTTTCTAATGTCTCGCGCATGAGTGAAACGGAAAATCTAGAAATACGCCGTACAGAAAAAGAACGAGAATATTTTGCGGGGCTAGTGACGTTTAGATCGTGAAAATCCCCAAAATATGACAGTTGATTTCGTATTTTCATCACAACAAACAATCCATAATCACAATTTTTGGATGATATAATTATTAGTTCTGTGATATTGGTTCACATTAGGTTGTATATGTCTGTGGATTTGTTTTTTTGTATTTGTTATTAATAATGACAGAAAGGCGTGTTAACAGTAGGGGCAATTAATCGGGATACTGAATTAAATGTGCTTGAACAGTTTATTCGAGCTAGAATGCGAAATAGCCCGGTATAAGGTTATGGTAAGTAGGTAATTTAACATTGACCTATTATAATTGGACTGCGCGTTGCTGTTTGGAAACCGTATAATTAGTAATGTTGTCAACATGATTAGGCAACCAGTAATATCCATTGGGGGCAAAAGAGTACTGAGCGACATAGGAAAATTATGGAATATTTGTTTTTACATCAAACACTAGAGTTATTTAATATTTGTTTAGCATCTAATTAACATATAAACACAAACAACATTGCTTGAAACAAATATTTATTTAATCTTATAACTAATACGCAAAAAATACATTTTTTTGTCGTTACAAAGGTCGAACATTTTATATTAATAGATTTGAAACGAAAAAACTATTGAACAAACTTTATGAATCTCAACAGACTTTGAGAAATCTGTTAAGACTGTCATAATAATGTAATATAATTTTGAAATTAATTACCAAAACGATTTAATATATTTATACATACACTACGTATGATATATGATCGTTTTCCGGGTTAAGTTTACACGGTTCCAACCCGGAAAACGATCATGTATAGTATATGTAAGTATGTATATGTGTATTATTCCGACCGTAGAGGCCTCCGAAATTATATACATATACTTACCGAATTTTAATTGATATCAATTTTGAATATTTGTGTCTAATCCAGTTATCAAATTCATTTCGTTATTCGCTTATTTCGATGACGAATCCGAATTGCGAAATAAATTTTTAGAACAAGTTAATTTAGTTGAATATGGTGATTATTTAATGAATCCTGATTTAAGATGTGATCGTCTAATTCGCAAAATATATTTTTTAAATTAATGTCTTAATTCTTAAATTAAACCATGATACAAGTAAATTTACTTATATCATGAATTAAGCAGGATCAGTTATTCTCGGCTGTAGGTAGCGATTAGGATGAGTATAATTTTATGTTTTGAAATAGAAAAAGTAAAATTTGAACAACAGTAATTTTATATGTAGTAACAGTAAAACTGCCCTATTACAACAGTTCCCTTAGCTTTGCTAAGGAAGTAAAAATAATGTAATTAGTTGTAATAATTAGTAATTACTAAACCTGTGAAATGAAACCGTGGGATCTTGTCCGTATCTTTGTTGGCAGTTAAATGCCACACAAGGCTTCACCACGGTGGATAAAATGTCATTTACACATAACAATTTAACTAAAAATTTAATATTTTATAGAAAACAGTCCAAAATGAACGAAGTGCCCCAGTTTTTTGCTATAATGGGGTTCGCGCCAATTTACACCAATGATGCTTTTGCCCCGAAAGGGTATTGTGTGTTGCCTAATCATGTTGACAACAGTTTAGAACGGGCACGAGCAGTCCAATAATAATAGTAGGCCCATGTAAGTTAATGTATATTGATACATTCTGTATGAAGTACAATGATGACGTATTTTGTTTTTTTATGCATAGATATTCCTTAGGAAAGGCAACATGTGAAACCCCAAGAGGTGCATTTGTATGCCACCATATGCCTACACTTGCTCTACGGACGTTATAATGTATTTCGCACCAATAATTTGCGTTCTTGGGACGTAGTCTGAAGAAAAGTGACTCAGCTGAGGTCAGAGCTGTTGTCTTTGAAAATCCTTTTAATCCCCAAGTCAGCCTAAAAACAGCGAATGTTGAGGTACAACTTCATGAAAGCTTACGACAAATTGATGGGAGCGAAGTACTACTTTGGCTATTGGGGCCTGAACCAGAAAGATCTGAAGAAAATCTACTTCACAGTGTCGAAGAACTGTTGGTATCCGAGGACTATTTAAATAGCACATCAAAAAACAGTTCGTGGGTCAGTTTTTCACCAAAAGTGAATCAGATTTTGCATTAGGAAGTGCAATTATTTATTGTAGAATACTTTTTTTTTATTTGAAATAAATTGTTCATTAAATTGTGATTTTTTTAAAGGGGTGTTTCAGAGCCAATTCGTACTAAAATGAAAGTGATTTTTACTTGTACATGAAAGGTTTAATCAGGAATGCTAACTTTTTCTTTTTTTAGCAAAAATGTGTGAAAAGAAAAAAGCTTGGGATTGATGATGATTCTTAAATCAAAAGTTGGCAATTAATTGAAAATTGCAAATATGAGATCTCCTTTAAGTATGTATTATTTTAAATTTACAGCTGTAACTGTAGCCATTGATTAAATCTATAGCATAGTAGCATCAGAGTGGCAGTATGAACCACTGTACGACATACGTTCGAGGCAAATGTAGTGGTAAAAGTTGAATTTAAATATTTATTAAATACCACCGGTTCCGTTCATGTTTGGTATCCAGATCGAGAGTAAAAATATCAGTCTTAGTGGTACAGGTAGTGGGATATATAAGAAAATTACTTTAATGGTAGAATTTAAGCGTTAAATTGACGCCTCGATTTCACCCATAAGGATTACACGATGAACTGAGTTCAAATTTCGCGCGTCGTTCACTTTATTGGTCACGATTTCTAAAGAAATTGATACATACGTCTTACACAAATTATCATACAATTTTTGTCATGCCGCGTCCATCCGTCTTAAAATTTGATTTATATTATATATATTAAAATTTCATAGTAAATCGAATTTCTTCTTGCATTGTCATAATTTTAAGATAACGTTATTTTCAAATCATAATTCAAAAACTATTCAAAATTTTGTCTTAGTTTTTTAAATGTAATATAACCAAACATTACATACTGAAAGTATCAAAAAAAGGTTTGTTTTTAATTTAAAGAAATTAGTGCAGTTATATTAGTTTCATAGTTAGAACAGGGCCAGGGCTATGAAAGCGTCAGCTGTTCCCATAAGAAATACATGGGGAGCTTACGGAACGACATAAAGAGGTCACTAGCGTCTTTAAAGGTGCTCCGACCTTGAAGAACAGATTCTTTTTCATTTTAAGGTTTTCGGTGATCGTTTCGTCTGGTTTTGTCAACAAGAAATGTCGGGATCATACGGAATGTTGGGTTATGGGGTTAAAAACAAACCTAAAATTTATTTTAACAAAGTAGTAGATATTATGATACATGTAAAAAATACTAGAAAATTGCGGTCTAAAGAGGTCAAAAAACTGCAGGTTAAACGAAATAGTTTAATTTTCGATGTGTGCGTGTTTGAGCGGTCCAAGATTTATTTTTAAATTTTAGTGTGTAAAAAATTCTAACTCTAATAAAAAGTGAAACGAGGTAATCAAGAGGAAAGTCTTTGCAGGGGTGGTGGAATGGTATTTTTTATGGTTCGTTTTTTAGCCGCAAACCAGTTAACGACTACAGTGCATAAATTGGGAAAAACTCCAAAATGTATTACCCATTACCGGAGTATAAAAGGCAAAATGTTCAGGTGGCATCATTAAATCGCCAAAAATCACATCTTCATTGAAGACTTTAAAATGTCACACAATTAAAACAGGATGTACCACTTCGTAAGAGTGTGCAAAGTTCATACAAACTTCGCAGAAGTGGTGGTGTAAGAATTTTCGTATTAATGAGTATCCACAAACATACCATAAACAGTTGTGTTCTTTCAAGGTGAGTTTCCGGTAACTCACATCACTTAATGATTGTTGAAGAAGCCAGAATACAGGGAAGATGTGTTGTGGAAGTTTGTCTAAAAGAACACCTTCGCAAATCTTTCATTTCAAATAAAATATTGTTTCACAGTTGGTTCTTGCACTTGAATCGAAATAATCTGTAGTAAATAGTTTCCGAAACGCTCTTTGGAATTGTATTGGTGTGGGATTTATACAGTTCCCAAATTGACGCCTCACAGAGCCAAACAAATATGCCAAACAATACTGATTTAGTTGCAGCAACCTTTTAGTGAAAATTGTAAAGAATTTGTATTCTGTGAAAACTATTAAAAATAATAAGCAAAATGTTTATGTTCCTGAAGTTGTTTTTTATTTTTTTGTGAGTGATTTAAAAATATTAAGAGTGAATTAAAAATTTTGCAATTCACTTGTGGATAACAACTTACTTGTCAGACTTGTTAAGGATTTAATAAACGCAGTTTAAAACGTCAAAATTGAATAAAAATGTTTTGCTTGAATATATTAATAATTTACAAAAAAGAAAAAAATCGTCAATGTCACTAGTACATGCCAGCCATTTTTATTTTTGTGTACAATTATTCGTATTATACGAATGCTACGAAATATTTGAATCTTCGTGTTTTCCGGGAACGGGCTCCCAAGGTCAGACCC